GTATTGCAGATACCGCCACCAGTTATGAACGAACTCGGTCGAGTCATTTCCGATCCATATGTTGATCCTTACTTTGCAAGATCAGGAATYGCTCAGGCATTGGGTAAACTATCGCCGTGTCTTGATGAAGATCAGGTATTACAAACTTCGCATCAGACATGGAACATGATTAGATTATAAAGGGGAATACGGAAATCCTACCAATGTCAGACTTGTAAGAGACGGCATGTTGCGAATCTGAAAAACCAAGAAAAAATATAATGATGTTATTTTTGATTAGGCGATCGCAATTTGGGAGTASATTGATTCTACAATTTTCGGTTTGTGATCGACTTAATAACTAGACGCTAACGTAGCGTGAAGTCGGCCTAGCAAGGGTGATATCATAATATTGTACATCGTGATGAAATGATAATTTTTTACACCGCAAAAAATTGAGACTTCACGCTGTAAAAGCGTGTAGCTCATTCAAAATATGCAAATTTCGTGTGATTTAAAAAGATCATATAAACAACACTTTATGTTTTAACAATTTTTGATGCAATGTTTAAAGGAAAGAACCCTATTAACCAGCTTATACTATTTAGGGGAATCCCCAAAGGCAACTCTTTCAAAAAAATTCAAAATAAATGCTTTAAATGCTCTTAAAACTCATATCCTATCATTACTAATGCAACTAAAGACGACATAGCGCAATGCATTTGATTATCAGATATCTTGGTGTAAAGTTTCAGGTTTTTAATTAAAAAATGACCTCTGAGGTCAAGAAGCATATAGTTTACAAAACAAGAAATACTTCGTACAATTTTGCGAACACTCGACGTAGACACAGCCTTTCCCTCGTACTTCGATTGACCATGTGATAGAAACAGACAAGTGACTTTGGGGCTCCTGTGTTATCAGGCCACGTGATCATTTATAAGTTCGTAAAGCATCATGGGGGACTATACGCGACGTTGATAGACAGATAGATTGATAGATTGATAGATTGAACAGAAGGTAGAACTAAAGTCGTGCCCAGGCCTAAGGCCTGCGCCCGACTAATAATCCAAACGGGAGTAGACTGGGACTGACTTGTGGAAATTAGTCTACAGAAACAAATAACACTCAAAAATTAATATACAAAGAAAAGACATGGTACTATA